CTTGTGGAAAAATTCAGTGTTTCTTAAGGAGCGTGGCCTCCCAACTCAAAATCATTTCATTTCTTCAAATATTCATGATCTGAATATAAAACAAAACTTAACTCACAATTAATCATTCTTATTTCCGTTATGTGTTATTTTCCATCACATCATAGGGGAATTTTGCCCAGAGTTTATAAGGAGGTCATTTGAACTGCTTTACAGCTAAGAACCACCTTAGAAATTAACTGTTTGTAGTGCCTATTAATCTTGTTCTGTTTACAGAGTGTTAACATTAGTTTTCAGTTTCTTATGATTTTGAACTTAAAGGTTTCTTCTAGCTGGTGATTTTGCTCCTACCCAAAATTTCTCTGAAGATGCTGAGAATTCATGTCTCTGCTGTTTGTAACCAAAAATGAAGGCAAAGATAATAACAAAGAAAGTCAAACATCTGAGACCCTGGAGATACTCACGTGTGGCCCAAGAGTAACTCAAAAGCACTCCCATTCTGCTAAGGTAGAGCAAGTTAGTAATTATGCTAACACATGAGACATTAACAATGGCGGTCACTCAGAGTGATAGTCATCCCTCAGTAGAAAATATTTTAATATAAAAACTTAAAAGATGTAATTTAATAGCAATTTTCCTTGGGAGTAAATTGGTCTCTGAATCATACTCTAAAAACCTAAAAGAAAAATGGCTAATAATTCAGCACAAAATGAAGACCTGTGATTACCTAAGGTGTAACAGTGTGCGTTTAACAATTTTTTCTTTTTCTAGACGAATACACGAGTCAGGTCCACTAGATAAATGGTAGCTGTGGTGAGACTTTCCCCTGTTGCTACTCAAGATGTGCTGCTCAGAAAAAGAAATGAGTGGTACTTCACCAATATGGAAATGTTTCTAATAGAATATAAAAATCTGTTAAGCAATTTTCTAGTACATTAGGCCGAAAGTGGTTAAGATAGTTCTTTCTGTGGCAGACATTCTATAAATTGCAGTCTTGTAATGCCCCTGTGTGTGGAGAGTGCTACTACAATTTGGCCTGCTATTTTAGTCATTAAGTCTGTACTCATTTCTACATATGACCTGATACAGTCAAGGCCCCCTCTCAATTATCTTGGAGAGGATTTCCTAATCTGAGGGTCACTCAAGCTTTCAATAGAAGAGTCATTCTTTCAGCAGTTTGTGTAAGGCTCAAAATGAGAAAGGCAAGCAGCCAGTTTTTCTTTAACAAAGCATGAATGGTTTCAGAATCTTGCTCTGGGTGAAAATGACAAGTCATTATTTACAGAGAGGTATCTGTAACTTCTTGCCTCTTTCTCTGTTCAAACTTTTTATTGATTTACAGAGATCAAAGACCGTGACTCCTAGGTAGCATTTAAAAAGGAAAAATGTTCACATTAAGAAGCTACTTTTGAAAGTTACACAATATAAATAATCTATCAGCCAGATCTTCAAAGACCGTGACTCCTAGGTAGCATTTAAAAAGGAAAAATGTTCACATTAAGAAGCTACTTTTGAAAGTTACACAATATAAATAATCTATCAGCCAGATCTTCAAAGACCGTGACTCCTAGGTAGCATTTAAAAAGGAAAAATGTTCACATTAAGAAGCTACTTTTGAAAGTTACACAATATAAATAATCTATCAGCCAGATCTTCAAAGACCGTGACTCCTAGGTAGCATTTAAAAAGGAAAAATGTTCACATTAAGAAGCTACTTTTGAAAGTTACACAATATAAATAATCTATCAGCCAGATCTGACATCCCTTTGCCACCCCATAGCTGACCCGCACATTTTTCATCTTTAGACTAACCCTTTTAGCAATTCCACTCTGAAAATAATCACTAAATGTCAGCTTAAAAAAAGAACAGGTGATAGGCATGGGGGAAAGCCATCAACTAAGGGTATATAGGAAAATGCTAAAACTGTACCAGGAAATAAGACCTAGAATATTCTGAATATAAAAAGAATTCTATAGAATGATGATTCCTATTATTTTAATGCCACACATATAACAAGATGTTAGTATAGAAACTGGCAGTGATACGGTAATGGGAATGTTGTAAGAACCACAAGGTGATGGAAAAGAGAAGGGCTTCGGAGGCAGGCAGGCCCAAGTATGAATCCAAGCTCAACTGCATATTAGCTGTACAACCTTGGACAAATTAATGCAGCCTGTTTCATTGCCTATAAAACAGGATAACATTAACTTCACAAAGTTGTTTAAAGGATTAGAGTTAATGTAGAAAATCAGTTTATCAGGCACTGAAAAAATGGTAGCTATTAGTATTGATCACATCACATTCCATTTATAAAGGACTCACACTTTCAAGGCTGCTTTTGGCATCAATGTTGTATTTTTTGACTTGAGTTCCCTATTTTGTTTGGATGTTATAACAAAGTTTCAGCATATCTAGTGATTCACCTGTAAGTCTTCTTTAGGTTGACCTCAGCCTGCACATGCTGCCCATTCTGAGTCATGAGAACAGCATCCTTGTTCCTCACATTGATTTAGGTATTTTCTTCTCAACCTAACAAAATAGAGTATAGTATAAAGCAGTTTTAAAGTACTAACTTTACACACATCACTGTCCTCTAGCGACTAGAATAATTCTTTCTTGTAATAACTGCTCCCCTTCTTTTATATATTATACACACACACACACACACTATATATATAGTTATTTATTCACTAGCAGGAGGAAAATCTCTTTTCCAGGGAACGTGATTGAGCCACCAGTTACACTTCTACACTTGATCTTTTTTTGTTTTGTTAATCTACCCTCCCCCCCCCCTTTTTTTTGGCAGCTGGCTAGTACAGGGATCTGAACCGTTGGCCTTGGTGTTACAGGGCAGTACTTTAACCAACCAAGCTAACTGGCCAGCCCTTGTTAATCACATTTCTGATGATAGCACTTGATCTTCTTAATCTAAGCATCTAGCTGTGGTCAGAGCCATCATCTAAAGCAGCCCTGGTATATTCTGACATAGTGTGGGCTGTGTGTTGGTGATGACCAACACATTAGGCACATTTCCCCTTTGATACCCCCCAACTCTTAAGAACTTGGCCTCCATGGTCTTCCTGAAACTTTTTTTTTTATAATAAGAATGTATTATTTATATAATGGGAGGTTGACCCACATTTTCAAGGGAGGGAGAAAAGAATCTGGACTCGTAAAACAGAAACTCTGAACTCACGGTCTATTCTGCGTTTAGAATACCAACAGAGATTGGCTGACACCCTTGAAGACTGTTTTGTTATCTGTTTAACCGGGGGCCAGTCAGCCCTAAACTAGGAAAACCCCTAACCTCAGTCACAGGGGGAAAGGGCAACCATATGAGTAACAGTAGCTACTATTTATAGGCTGGGCCCTGAGATTAACTCTGTGTCTATCATCTCCAACAACAATCCTAGACAGTACATGTTATTACCATTTCATAGATGAGACAGGGAGTTTACATAACTGAGTCCAATTCTGCACATAAGCCCTTCTCCAGTAACAGGAAAAATGCCTGAAAGGCAAGTGCCAATGAAGGTTAAGCAATGGGCCGACCCCGTGGCGCACTAGGGACAGTGAGGCGCTGGGAGCGCAGTGGTGCTCCCGCTGCGGGTTCGGATCCTATATAGGGATGGCCAGTATGCTCACTGGCTGAGCACGGTGCGGACGACACCAAGCCAAGGGTTGCGATCCCCTTACCGGCAGATCCTATATAGGGATGGCCAGTATGCTCACTGGCTGAGCACAGTGCGGACGACACCAAGCCAAGGGTTGCGATCCCCTTACCGGTCACAAAAAAAAAAAAAAAAGGTTAATCAATATGCCATCTTGGTGTAAACAATTAACAATTACAATAAACTCTAACACAGAAACTGCTAAGGACAGGACATAAGACTATTCACTGGTAAAGGATAGGTGTTCAAAGATGACTCAACTTCTCTTGCTATTTCCAATAATTAAATGCTAGGTAGTTACAAACAGTGAAAAATTGATTCTACACAGATAAAGGTAGATTTGTGTTATCCAAATGCAAATCTAACTAGGTTTGAAATCCTAAAAGTAGAGCCTTTAGATAAATGAAAATCTTCCCGATATTTTTTCAGTTTAAAAAACCTAGAGGCAAAAAACAGAGCATATCCAGGGTCCTAAAGCAGGAGCCAAGGCCAGACCCCTCCACCAGGATGCAGGTAAGAAACAGAGAACTCCTGAGGTCCTTAGGCAGAAAGCAAAGAAAGCCCCTTCTACCCAGAAGCAGGCAAGACAGCATGCCCAGGGTCTGCAGCATCCCCAGGAGCACACCTAAAACACCACTTCCATGCGGGGGCCCGCCAGTCACAGCTCCTGCAAAAGTGGCACATGCCACACCAGTAGTCACAGCTACTGTGCAGGCAGACTGCCAGACACTTGACTACACTGACACAAGGAGAGTCACCAGGAGAGACAAGAAAAAGAAGAGGACGTGTCTCTCCTCAAAGCCCACTCCAGAGTAAGAAGCAACTGCTCTACCAGATGACCAGACGTCAATGTAGAGATACTAGAAATATAAAAACCCCAGAAAATATGACACCTCCAAAAGAAAACAGTAATTCTCAAACATCAGACCCTATAGAGCAGGAAACCTTTGAAATGACTGAAAAGGAATTCCAGCAGCAATCTTTTAAAAATTCACTGAGACAGGAAAAGACCTAGTTAGACAACACAATGAAACAAGAAGAGAAAAATCCAGGATATGAAGGAGGAAATTTACAAAGAGATTAATACCTTAAAAAAGAATGTAGCATTTTAATACAGGTGTTTTAAAGTATAAATTTTCCTCTAAGTACTTAGTCTTTTCAAATGTATTGACTTGTTTTGCGGCCAAAAATAAAATAAAAAACCTACAGAGATGATGAAATCATTAATATAATCAAGTCTGTGAAAAGTGAACATTTGAACAACCTTCTACCTGCTCCCCTCCCCCAATATGGGTTTCTGGGTCTACCAGCCATTCTTTATGGAAAAGCAACAATCCCTGTTTTGTTTCTTCAGACACTCTTTAATAACAATAGCACTGGTATTTGAACTTACAACTTTAAACACATATTTCAGGATTTGGGAGCTTCCGGGACCATAACTTTAACCCAGCCTTTCATAACAGTCTTTTTACTTTCTGTTACAGAACATGACACTGCAATAATAGCAATGAACCGCTTCAGCTTTTTCACTTCTGCAGAAGCTAAAACGACTTCTCCAATATATAAGGGGGCTGGAAAGTTAATTTCCTGGGAAAGAAATATACAGCCTGGCCCCGGCATTTTAGTACCCAAAAGAGCTGAGATAAGTCCATTGATCAAAACTCCATGTACAATTGTCTTTCCAAACTTGGTGTGTTTTGCAAAATCTTCATTTAAATGCAAAGGATTGACATCCCCTGTTAATTCTGAGAAGATAGCCACATCCCTCTGTGTGAAAGCTCTGCTGAGTTCAGCCCGGTCTCCAACTTTGACATGCATAAGCCGAAAGCGCTGCCTGTTCAGCACTGGTTGGTGCAGGCAGGCTCTCCTCTGAAGGGTATACCACCAAAGGCAATGGCTGGAAATTACTGGGAACATCTTCAGCACCCTTCAATTTCATCAACGGGGGCTTTTAACCTGCTTCAGTCTTCAAACATTATGCAGGCACCAAAAAATACTTCAGCGGAGGAATGTCTCTGAAACTGAGGGCAATTCAATCCAATACTAGTTCCCTACTATTACCAGATAATGCAAGGAGAAATGGAGAAACCTACAAGAGAATGA